ATGCTGGTAATAGACAAATAACTGCTGCGATACCATTGAGATGAGAGAGATAAGTCAGACGTTTGTCACAGAGTAGAGTTTATAACTGATCAGTGCGTCAGGGTGCGTTGAACCCCACCCAGGTCATGTACATTTGCTGCATCGACAGGGATATTGATTATTATTGCATCTGTGTATCTCCGTTGCTCATCCGACATCTCCAGTTCAACGTAAGTAGCAAAATATCAGAGTCCAAGTGATGACATCTGATTATTACTGCAAGTGCGGTCCCTGCTCAAGCAAATCCACAAAAAGCTTCGCCAGCTCAAGCCGCCAATCACCCAGTCCATCCCCCATATTCACAACCCGCAGGCTGGTGGCCAAGTACATGTCTCAAAACGCCTTCTAAAGAACCGACCCTTCCGCTGGCCAAGGACAAAATAGATCATTTTTCCAAAATGCAGCAACAGCCTGCTCCACCCCAGCCTTATCCATGCTTATATCCCTACACAGATCAAAATCAAGCATCCACAGCGCATGCTGCCCCAGCACATTCTCCCATCTGCTTTTATTAATATCACTGTCAGAGTCAGGAGGCACCAGAGCAAGCATAAACTCAACATTATTTACATCAACCCCCACAACCCAGTACATAATCACCAGCATCTTACCCATGACCTCTATATATCCCCTTATATCCAGCCCTGGGATACTAATCTCCTCTATCTAGTCTATATATAGCAGATAATTGCGCAGGGAAAAAGCCTTAAACCTTGATATACACATGGGCTGCTGTGCCTGTGTGTGTTATTAACTAAGATATAGCTAGATGAGATAATCCTTATTCATCTTACTAGCTAGAATCTTGGTAGAGAGCTTAGATAGGTAGTATTATATAATGAGATGCTCTTATATTGCTTTTAGAAAGGAGGGGATATGCTGTATATAGATTATATTATAGGGTGAGTAGCTATCTGAGAAGTGGGGGAGATGCTTACTCCACTAGCTTTTATATATAGGTTAGATAAAGGTATAGTAGTAGGGAATATTAATATAAGGCTTGATTACTAAGGAAGGTAGGTTATTTAGGGTGTGGAGGATTTGCTAATGCTTCTTATAGTTATTTTAGAGGGATTAGGTGAGTCTGCTATCTTTATATTTATAGGCTAGGCTGAGCTCTGAGGGGGCCTAGACTGTTCCACAGGCGCCAGCTCTGATGTGCTGGTATTAAGGTGGTTTGGGTTGTTCTTTCATCTTATCTTATTATGTTTTGTTGTTGAGATATTTGTGGGGTAGTTATAAAGTGAGGGTGTAGAAGTAGGTTGGGGATGGTTAGGGTTATCTGAATACACAACCAGTCTATGTCATGAAGACTCATTAACTTAAGAGCACATTACTTCACTTCCATATCCTATCCTTGATATTCACTCATAAGTTGCATGCAACATTCCCTCACCCCCTTGTCCGAACTGTTTCCTGTTATGTAGAGTATGCGTGTTGAATTCTCCTGGGACAAAATTTCATGAAGAGCTAGGGCTAGGTATCATTCATGTATGCATGGTCATAATTAAAGTCATCATTAGATTACAAAAGTGAAGAAAGAAGAAAGAGAAATCAAACCATTGCCCCAGAGGCAATCTTAGCTCCTTTCTGATCTAAACCTAACTCCTTATCTAGTAAGCTTACTTCCCTTAGCATATACATGTTATCTAAGTCCACTTCCTATCTATAGGCTACCTTATTATTAGAATTAATTTTATTCTATCTATTACTAGTTACAGGCAAAGGAAAGATATAGGTAAGGATGTAGTATATTATAGCTAAGATAAAGAAGCCTAAAAAGTAATTAATATTATAAATATACTTAGCTCCCTTTAATATAGTATAACTAATAGTGCCTATAAAGCTAATAATATTAATAAGGATGCTAGAGAGATATAAGGTATATATATACTAGGAGAAACTAAAGATAAAGTAATATAGTCTATGCTTACTAGTATTAAATAGATCTTTAATCTAAAGGTAGCCTTTATAGTTAAGATAGTAGTTGTAGATTATAGGACCTGTAATAGTGGATAGAAAGATAGAATAAGCTAAGAGATATATAGTGAACTAGTTAGATAAAGACACAAGGTTCCACTATAGAAGTCAGTGGATTGCTCTTATAGGGAAATGTAGATAAGTAAAGCATATCAGATATATAGCTAAACTAACTGCAGCACAGATATAGCTACCATGCTGAATATTAAGGTAGTATAGGAGTAAAGCAGTCAAGTCTATACTAGTAGATATAGAATTAGTAGAAATATTTATTCCTAGCTGTATAAGTATAAAACTAGTAGTAATTATAAAGATTCTAAATCTCTTACCTAAGCTAGCTCTATCTAAGAATATTCTTAGTAGGTTAAGTAGATTCTATACAGGGTCCCTATTATAGATGATGGTAGAAGCTAAGGATATAATAATACTAATAAATAAAGTAATACTAAAACTAATTAGAATTATTAATAGCTATAACTATAATATATCCTTTAGCTTTTTTATAAATCTTAAAAAGTTAGGATTATTTATAATAAGGGTAGTAAAGTTTCCTAGGTAGCTTATAATTACCTTTATAATTACCTAGGTAAGAGTGCTTCTGTAGACTGTATTAGGCTGGTATATAATTAGTCTAATACTATTTATATAAGTAATTAACTATATAAAGAAAGCTATAGCAGTAATTAGAGAGTAAATTACCTTAGTAGTAAATAGATATTAGATCTTATAGATTAGGAACTATAGAGTAGGTAATAATAGTAGCTAGAAGAGGAAAAAGCTAATAAAGTCCTTAGTTATAACACTAGTACTAGCTGAAAGGGAGTTATAAAGATAGATATAGCTAGGCTAGATGGCCTTGATTATCATAGTAACACATTATCCTGTTAATGGCTGATTAATCCCCTGAATTTACTATTGCCTGACTTGTTAGTGACAGACTTATCTCTAATATATGACTGCACTCTGTACTAGATGATAGCTATAATAGTACAGTTTAGAACTAGCTAAAAGGAGCCCCAGATTCTAAAACTAGATTATATAGTAACTAGGAATAGAATATGATATTTTACACTAATATAACTAGTAAGATAGATAAACACTCCTGTAATAAAGTATCTAACCTAAATACAGATCCAAGACTGCCACCAGGAGAGGCTATTAACAATCATCAAAGAGGAGATCATCCAAGTGTTCTATACCAATCAGTTCAGCCTGTCAGCCTGCCCCAAACATGCGACAATTCCGCGCATGCGACTCACAATATTCAGCGAATCGGCAATCCAGAAAGCAATAAAATTGAACCATTGCCACTGACGCCGGTCAGGCTCGACTGCAACGAAGAACACAGGTAAGCTTCACTTCAATCATAGACCTCCAACAGGCTCTAAGACAACAATGCAGTCGAATAAGCTGATGCACAATGGAATCTCACCTGGGTGCAAGTCTTTATTTGTTAACATCAACTGAGCACTGCTTAGTCCAGGCTCTGATAGCACCTTGAGCTTTTCAGCCCATTGCCTGATTTGAGCCATACTGCCTGTACAGATTGTAGCCCTGTGATGAAGGATGCAGTGCTTATTGGCAAGACACAAAGAGATGATGAGGTGTACAACACAAGACACACTATTAATTCACTGGTGCACTCCAGTAACACAACACAACCACTCCAGGCCATCAAGAGAAATTCATGTGAATATAAACACATCCATGCCTTGGATAAGATAAGAAATTATGTTGCGTCATGACCCAATAAACTGCCTTGATAGAGAGGTAAAACCTGGTGGTAGTCTACTCCATACACCCACAATGACAGCCCGCCATGATAGGTAACCTTGAGTTGCAACCAGCCAGTAACATGCGACCACTATCTCCCGTCGGTACAGGGGAAGGTTGCTAGGACACTTATGATAACGAGCTATCGTCCAAGAAAGGCAGGATCATCCCGCTCTAGTGAGCCGTGGGCAAACCATCGTCCCTTATCACCCTCCATGAGATGATGAGGTCGTGTAAGCGAAGGCCGTTATCAGCAATCAAGATCATAAATGGTGGCTACCGTGACTGCTGCTCCCCACTTGGCTTCTCCGCAATAGGGAGCTCCAATGGTTCCAGCGACTCAGAGGCCGTGATGGGGGCGCCAATGGCTGGGCATATCTAATCTCTCGGTCATCGTGAGTAAGAGTTATTCGTGACTCGATGGGATCAAGTAAAACATTCATCTTGTCAAACTCAAAGTCGAGATTATTAAGACGTCCTCACCACTCATCCGGGATCAGGAGCAGATTTGACAGATGCCTCTAATCAGATACCATGAGGAATCGAAACCTTAAAAAATGAAGCAAGGGGGGATCTCAATATCACGTGACTTCATGTCCACGAGCCAGTGTAGGCTATGGATTGAATGCTTGAGCTACTGATTGTGTTTACGGTAAGACGCAGTGCGATAGAATTCTCTGATTTAGCATATAGTGCAAATGGTATCTGTATACATCGGAACCTCATCAACCTCAACCTGCTGGCTAACCCTTGTTCCATTTGCCAAATTTCATATAGTCATCATAGAGACCCTTAAAGATTGCCTGTCCTAAAATATCTAAGCCTGTATTTATGGCCTGCATGGTGTCCTGTGATATTATATCTAGAATAGTATAGAGACTAGGAAGGATTACTAATTTTACTTCTGGTACTAAGGAGCTGCAGAGTGAACTCTGTGTGTACTCTATAATTAAGTACTGTAAATACTAACCTGTAATATACTTAGCTTTCTTAGTCTAGTTAGTAAGAGCCTCACAGCTGCCTCTAGATTATATGGGTTGTGAGACGGCAGAGATGGTGGGATCACAGAGTGAGGTGAGTAGATGGGTAAAATAGATGGTATGTAAAGCCTGCAACAGTGCAAGCCAGTATAGCTACTATGTATATCCCTTTACAGAAAGCATGGATTAACTTCTCTTCTTAGAGCATGGGAAAAGGCAGTTCAAAAGTTACTGCATGGCGGGAAGGATCAAGTGGAAATGCCCACTGAGTTTCTGACAGTGGAGTCCCAACAGCACTCCCATCAGCTTACAATCAGCAGCAAAGGGGTTGGTACCCCGAATTCGCTCAAAGGATACAAGCCAGGTTGTAGCCACCGCGTTTGTCACATTATGAGGTCGCTGATCGTCGTCAAAATCCTGGCTCAGAAGATCAATCACCTCTTCCTCCTGCCCTAACACGAGCGATCGGTATTCCGAAAGCGCAGCGAGACAATTCTCGTTGATATAACAAGCAGCCTGTACAATCGCCAAGGGCAGGTAAGCCAGCTGCTTGAGAAGCAGCGCAGCTTGATCTCTATCTTGCAGGAGAGACTTATCCCCCAAGCGTTTGCCAAGAAGCTCGATCGCTTTTGCCTCGTCCATTTCTGGAACTGCGATCACGCGCTTTGCGAGCTTTGTGGCGATCTTCTTGAAATGTGTAGTGAAAAGCATGCTACCCGTTTCACTCCATGGAATATATTCTCTCAACCCGCATGGCTCGGTGTTGCCTTCTTGCTTGCCAAACCACATGCTGGTATCATCTACATTATCGAAGATCAGCAACCACTGGCCCGCGCTACCGTGGCATAAGTAATCTTTCAAGAGCTTCTTGGCATCAGCTTGCTCGTCCTCGAGTCCTGGTAATTGTAGCTGTTGGGCAATTTCAAGATACGTTCGTTGAAGAGTTTCAAAGTTCGCAGAAGGGATCCAATAGATTGAGCATTCTGGTCGCGTCCGCTGGGTTCGGTAAGCAAGCTCGAGAGCAACCTGTGTTTTGCCAACACCGCCGAGCCCGGTGATCGCAACCTTGTGTTGGTGGCCTGGGGAAAACAGCAGCTCTTCCAGCTTATCAAGCTGCTCACCACGGCCAACAAAATCTTCGTTTCTTGGACAGGGGATATTTCTATAAGCATGATGACTAGCTGGCTAGTTATCAGCGGGGCCCTTGCTCTAGGAAGGCTTCTTACAGGTCTGTAGCTTTATCAAGTGGACTTTATATTCCTGACCTGGGTGAGCTGAGGCGTATACCGGCTATAGTTTCTTTTACTTACGTGGACGACCTTGTTGAATCCGGCTTCTGTGGAATCTCAGCAAATATCAGCTTAAAGCCAATCCTAAAAATATTCAAGCGAAGTCTTCAATATACACACATTGCTTCTGCCTCAGATTTTGTACGCAATCTCGCACACGAAATCTTTGATTTTGGTGACTGACGTACTCATACGTTGCTGCCTCGATCAGACCTTGCTCCTGATACTCAGCGAGACCAAGATTTTGCAGTCCGGGCTAGTGTGTGTTCCTAAAAACCTGGTTCTAAGCGGCGAAGTCTTTTCCAAATTCACGCTGTCTGAACGCAAGGCTATATATAGAAGAGGCTGGATTTCAGGAAGAATACTATAAAAGTAGAAGCAGGTATGATTAGAGCGAGCAGCAAGTATGAATTAGCCAGAATCAGAATAAGGTAATGTACACTAAGTACACAATAAAGGATACGCAAATATAATACTCTTGTGAGGTGGAAAGATCACTAGTGTAATAATCCTAATAATATGATTATCTATAGCTTGAGAAAGGCTTAATTACTTATAAATCAGCACGCAGCACTTCCGGGCAGTGTATGTAGTAAGTAAAATTCCAAGGGTTGCTTTAGACAAAGTATGCCTCCCAGGATACAGCTAATAAAAGTACTTAATAATTAGAGTTTTAACTGTTGGAGGGAAGGAATAAGATTAAAAACTAAAACATGCACTATATAAAGCCAGAGTGCTTTTGTAGGAGGCATTAATAATTCTAATACTGTAAAGTGTTTAGAGTTGCATTTGGTGCGAGTTCGGGCAAGTTCAAAACCAGTTGGCACCGAACCGCTGCGATTTCGAGTTCAAATTTTAGAACCCACAGCCAACCCGGATCCAATCCAGGTTGGTGGCGGTTTCACCGCAAAAACCCACTACTAGGCCTAGCTAGGCCTAGCTAGGCCCCTACTAACTAACCATGGTTAGATTCGGTTCAATTTCGAGTTGGTTAAACTGCTACCCCTTGGTGAATTTTGATGGTTTTTGAATTTCAATGCCTCATCGAATGCCATATTATCTATCATAATATCACTATGCTAATCAAAAATTATCATTTTTATATGAAATATATCATAATTATCATCATACTAATCTATATCTAAAATTTTAATTCAATATCTATAGGGCTGAATGGGGGGTGGTTAAAAAATCATTTTTAAACTATAGTAGTTGTCAACCATTAGTTGCATATATATATATATCTACACCACTTTCATACCACCCCATGACGAAAATGATTATTCCTCTATATCTCAGCAACCACTAGGTATTTTAAATTAATATTTATATCACTAGATAGCCTGGATCAGGGGCTATCTAGTGATATCAAAATTATTAGTGAAATACTAGAAATTAGTAATTTCTATCTAAAATGGATTGGGCGGTTTCACCTAATCCGCAAAAACCGCAGAAATCGAAACTGATGGTTTTCACCGAACCCGAATCGGGCCCGGGGTAGGGAACTCGAACCCAAAGCGATTCCCTAGGCTATGCCCCGAGCCCAACCCACTGCGGGTTCGGTGAGGGTTGGATTCGATTTTTGCGGTTCGGTTATGCAACTCTAAAAGTGTTCTAGTTATTATTATCATTATTATTCTTAATTAGCTATGATTAGTGAGGAAAACCATAGGAAGTAGTATATAAATAAGATACTGGATTTGATGGAAGCGTCTGCTAGGACAAACTTAGACTTAGTACTATAGAATAGACCAGGTTAGAGCTGTTATATTAAGCTATAAGAAACTAGTGGCAGGAGTAGCAGGAGTGGCATGCTATTTATATAGGCTGCATTAATTAGTGGTAGTGCATTATGTGTTCAGAAGATTGATTGTTAGGGTATGGCCATGATAGACAGCCAAGGCCTAGTTGCCACTTATGCATATTAGCCGCAGTTAAGTGATTATTCATAATGCTATAAGGTGGAAGATAATTAGCATAACAGCTTTAGGGGTGAGAAGAGCAGACTTGCCTGAACAGGGCTCTGTAGCTTATTAATTAAGCTATTAGGTATGGTATTTAATACTAGCTTCTGTGATTCTATATTTCATTAGCTAGTGCTTCTGAGGTGGAAGTGTAGGTAGTGGGTATAAAGTTCCGCGAAGACTCTACAAAAGGACTAGTAAGAGAGGTCTCTTTGGTTTAGTCTTCTGGGCTTCCCACAGAGGATCTTCCTTATCCTCCATTGCTTGCTGAGCTAGAGACTTGGATAAGTTCCTAATTTAGCTCTTTGTCTATGGCCTCAGTAGCTTTAATACCATCTGAAAAATTTAGTATATCTATAGGGATCCTTAGGCTTGGTACACACCATGATTATATTACTTTTCTACCTCCTCTTCGCCCCTTCAGATTGTAATAATCTCATCTAGGATCTCTTGTTTCTCTACTAGAATCTTATAAGCTATGACCTTCTGCAACTTATTAATTATAGTTCTCCCTTTCCTAGATATGCAGAGAATGTGGACTAAGAGAGTGATCTAATCTAGTGATAATTAGCTAGGTCAGCTAGCAGATAAGTATTAATTACCCACCATCTATCCTAAGATGATGTGGTGATGTGTGTGGGACACCATCTAGCTACTAGTTTGGTTTTATCTTTTTACACCCATTATAGGGATGCTTATATTATTTATTAGGGTTAATAAGTCTAACCTAAACTTAACTAATACTGCGGTAATTAGTTTGGCAGAGGTGTCTAAATATCTATCTATACAGAGCTATTACCTGCTGAGTATTACTGTAGTCAGGTAGGGCCTTAAGAGTGATCTTTTACTTATCTACATTATTAACCAAGGCCCTGTAGTGCTTGGCTGGATGGTTAGAAGGTAATTAGGTTAGTTATTAACCTAAGGGGATGCATAATAAATCCTGGAATCCTTCACTTTAAAAAGGAATCTAGAGATAATGAGGAATATAATATTAATTAGCTAATACTAAATCAGATGTGCAGTAAGGATTTAGAAGCCTCTTACCATATTTCCCTAATTAGTGAAGTTATTTTCATGGGAAGATCTCTTAGTAGATCTTCAGACCAGAGTGGAAGAGCTATCAGTAGCTATGTTATGAATTATCTCTGGTATTCTACAAGGGTAACTTATATAAGAATTTAATAAAAAAGAGTTAGATAAAAAGTATAAGAGACTGCCTGGATGGACAGACTTAAAGATAAAGTAATTCTGTAGGTGCAATCAGAAGATAGGAAGAATAATAATATTTGCCCTGGTAGTTTAATAATTTAAAGCCAGGGAAGAAGTCTAAATAACTATATTAATTATATCCTTTACAGTCTTTTTCCTGTACATTATATTATTTCCTTATTTAGGATAAAAGAGAGCATCTATACTACTGTCTAATTGCATTTTTTTAGATAGGTTAGAGGCAAAGAGTGTGCTAGGCTACTATTGCCTATAATTACATGGTGCATAAGAATGATATACATATAACAAGCTACAGACAGGGAAGTCATGCAGGGGCTTAGGCTCTATTAGGGTATTATATCTCTCTCTACCCTACTAGTATATCCTTCTTCCTGTATCTAATCCAGCATAGATTGCATGCTATAGATAGTATGATTATATGAATGCGAATTCCTACAGCCCTTAGCTAAGAATAGAGTATCTTCTATTTAGTTATAGTAGTCAGAGGAGGCTCTCTCTGAGGTACTTAAAGGTAAACTGCCCTCTCCCTTCAGCTATAATAAAGTACTAATGCCACTATAAAGATTAGGTGCTGTTCTAGTGGTAACTAGTCCTTATATAGAGGCCTGTGTATCTAATTACTATCTATAATCTCACTTATATATGTATAAGAACTCAGGACAAGACTTAGGGATAATAGATTAGGCCTACTAGTACTTCCTTCCTGTAGCTATAGCTAGACCATCTAAGGTGTAAATACAGTAACTTCTTATCTAAGTCATGTTTTAGTGCCTCTCTAGCTCTCTAAATTAATAGTGGCTTCTTGGTAACAGGGTTGTTGCCTTAGGGGTTATAAATATTAGTTTCTTACTGTTATCTATTAGCTAGTAGACATCTATAAATAAGGATTGCTACTGCTTAAGCTCCTTACCCTCTTATAGTCTTCTTTACCCTCCTTTCTTAGAATGAGTCCTTCCCTTCCTACCCCTGTATTTTGCCCCTCCTAGTTTCCATGTAATATATCAGTAACTAGGGGCCATAATAATAACCAGAAGAGATATAAAGAATCTATATTACTTATATAGGGATGATTCTTGATAAGGGATGTAATTATAGTGCATGATATATAAAAGATCTAGTATGGTATTAGATGTTACTTACAGTAAATAATCTTATCTGGGTGTTACTAGCCAGCTGAATATCCTAACTAAATAGTTCTAACTCAGGATTCTGGTTCCTGTAGCTTCAGGCCTGCTTAACTTTTCTAAGAAAAATATTCTTTTAGTTTTCATTACTAGATTGATTCCTGTTGCTAAATTTTTGCTCTATATAGTTACCTTATTAATAATAAAGAAAGGCTAAAGCAAGAGAATATGAGGTATTTATGATTAATAGATATAGATGGAGGGAACCTCTACAGGGAAAAGAAGGTAATAATCTTATCTAAGTGGGTACACTAAAAGAGGACTGTGTTTGCTTTGCTATATCTGGTTTAAACTTCTAGTTAACTGCTATAAAGATTGATTAGGGCTCAATGCTGTCTGAATAAGAGTCTATGGTTAAGCAGAAAATAGAAGAAGACTTAAGAGATTTTACCCTGCATCACACTAACATACTCCTATATATACCTTAAGTATTATAGGACAGAGGGTTAGGCTAGTTTTGCTACTCTAAAAATATAAGTATGTTTGGTTTAGCATTAGCAGCAGGGAGAATATATGATATCATCCTTAGTAGAGTATTTAAGGCAGTGTCTACTTTAGGCATTTAATAAATCCCCAGGAATAAGTAAGTAACCTAAAGCTATATTACTGATAGGTATCCACAGCTATAGTTAAAAGAGCTTAGAATAATTTAGCTAGAATGTAGAAAGGTTGGTCTAATCTGCAGTACATAAGAATGGGATTATAGTGATAAAGTCTAAAGAAGGTAATTAATATCCCTAG